CAAATAGTCCAGAACGCAGCGGCGCATCTGGTCTTCAATCAGCCAAAAAGAGCACACGTCACCCCTCTGATCATTGAGCTCCACTGGCTACCGCTAGTAGCCACATTGAAATGGCTAAAACTAGCATACAAAGTACGAGATGGTACGGCTCCCATCTACCTGAATCCTCTTGCAAAGGCTTACGTCTCGGCCCGGCCACTCCGGTCATCACAGGATCGTCGGCTAGCAGTGCCTACACCACGCTCAGGACAATCCAGACTCTTCTCATGCATCGTTCCACAAATGTGGAATCACCTTCCAAGCATTACCAGAAAAGGGGCTTCCTTTTCAATTTTCAAGAAACTCCTGAAGACCCTGCTCTTCAGAGAGCATCTTCTTAACTAGCAGCCTCCCTACACCCGTCCCCCCTCTCTACTGTCCACTCCTTGTTCCCTCCTCTCCATGATTGATGTCAAGTTGTTGTTGTTGTCGTTAGCCTCAAGGGCAACATGCCAATTATCACTTTTAAGTCGCTTTGGACAAAAGCGTCAGCTGCATAAATTTGGGCACTGCAGTAATTTTATTGATTTCAAAACTTTTAGAACTAAATATTGGAACTCAAAATTGGTTTGGTAAGCTCAGTGACCCTTGAACTCCATACACAGGTGAATCCAATTTTGAGAAAGAGTATTTAAGGGGGTCAATTGTAAGCTTCCCTCCTCTTTGAATATTCGCTGAAGAGTAGTTAAATAGGGGTCTCAAATCAACTTTCAACTGACCTGCAAACGAAGATTGTTAACCATCATGGTTTAGGGGAAGGAGACCGAACGCAGACTCAGAGATTTCAGCTGACTGTTTCCACAGTTAGGAACATATTGAGGAAATTGAAAACTACAGGCACAGTTGAAGTTGAGGCTCGAAGTAGCAGACCGAAATCTGGGATAAATGAAAGCGAAGAATGGTGAGAACAGTCAGTGAACCCACAGACCAGCACCAAAGACCTACAACATCATCTTGCTGCAGATGGAGTCACTGTGCCTCTTTCAACTATTCGGCACACTTTACACAAGGAGAAGCTGCAAGTGAGAGTGATGAAGAGCAAGCCTTTTCTCCACCTACACTACAAACTGAGATGCTTGAGGTATGTTAAAGCACATTTGGACAAGCCAGCATCATTTCGAAATAAGGTGTTGTGGACTGTCCATCCATCCATTTTCTCCAGCTTATCTGGACTCAAGTCGCAGGGACAACAGCCTAAGTCTAGAGGCTCAAACTTCCCTCTCCCTAGTGACTTGGGCCAGCTCTTCCAGGGGAATCCCAAGGCGTTCCCTGGCCAGTTGACAGAGCTGCTTCACACTCGGCTGCGAATCGCTCCAGCGAAAGTCTAAGATCATGTTCTATGAATCCAAAAGGACCAAATCATCTGCAAAAAGCAGAGACCCAATCCTCAGGCCAACCAACTGGATCCCCTCAATACCTTGGCTGTGCCTAGAAATCCTGTCTATAAAAGAATCAGTGACAAAGGACAACCTTGGCGGAGTCCACCTCTCACTGGGAATGAGTCCAACTTACTGCCGGCAATGCAGACCAAGCGCTGACCGGTCATACAGGGACCTAACAGTCTGTATCAGAGGGCCTGGTACCCCATACTCCTGAAGTATCCCCCACTGGGTCCCCCCCGAGGGATGTGCCACACCTGAAATTCTAGCGCCATGGCTACAAAATCAACTGTCCCCCTGTCCTGTCTTTAATTCATTTTGAACAGCGAAATCCTCCAAGTTGTGCAGAACCACAAAGGCGGAGCTGCACCAGAGTCAGACCCGCCCATTTAATCTGAGTCAGCCCAATTCCTTCCAGTTGTCATTCTGGAACCGAGGAGGGTGTTATAGCTAATATCACCTAAAATGCAAGATTGAGGATGGAGTTGAGAGGTTAATTGAACAGTTTAGGTAAAGGTTCCATAAAATAAAAAATCTAACTTTTGGAACTTTTTACCATGTTATATTGCGATTTCTTCATAAGAAATACCCTAAAGCCTGTTTTGGCTGCATTCATGCATTTTCCTCCAGTCTCAGTTTTAATTTGGTCTCCTCCCCCTAAAGCGGGTCTGGCCTTGGTTCTCAAATCTGGATATTCTGTGGATTTTCTGACAAATTATTCCTGAAATTACTTCTACCGAGACACCGCCGGAAAAACCATACATCCCGTCTACAAAGACACACTGGATGGCACAAGTGCATGTGGTGCCAACTGCTTCCTAACAGATGTAGTGGTGAAGTGGTTATGGTGTCAGACTGGTATGTATTTTTGAGCAGGTTTGCCTCCCGGTTGCGACGTTAACCTTTTTCTTCCTTTCTAGCTACACTTGCCAGTATTATGTTTTTCATCCCACCGAGAGTCGGACCAGCAGCAGCAGAGGGCAAAACAAAACTTAAGTCAGACCATTATGCCAGTGGACTACCAGAGATCGTACTATAATAAGTCTGCCTAAAAAGCTGTTGTAGGCGTGTTGTGTTGGAGTGGCTGTGGGCAGAGGTTTGCTGAAAGAAACCTTTTCATTTCGGGGTATATTCAGGCTTTGTCATGTAGCAAATTATATTTATCTTACTTAATCAGAACATAGTATTAACAATTGTAAACTAGTAACAGCCGTAATTCATATGGGTCAGGTTAGTTTGCGATAAAGTGAAAAAACAAAAACAGAAGAAGTCAGTGGGCTGGGCTGAGTTAGCGTGAATGGGTGGGGCTGACTCAGGTCTGACTCTGGTGCAGCTCCACCTTCTGATACAGCTCCGCCTTTGTGGTTCTGCAGCAAGCACCCTCTCAAATCCTCTGATGCATCCATGCTGCTCAGTACCAGAACTGTGCTGATGTCACTAGTTACTAAAAGAACCATCAGCTGGCAGAGCTTACTGTTAAATGTGTGAGCGTATAGAACTTGCAAAACTACGTGACTCATTTTATGGAACAAAGTGGAATCCAGCTGCTGCTCCAGCTGCTTTATGCCCAGGGCAGTTTTATACCTCAGATCAAACCACATCCAGACTTGCTATTAATATACTGTAGATACTTTATCATACATAATTAGCAGCCTGTAACTCTACTATTTTCTCAAATTGCATCAGACTGATGCTTTTAAATAGAAAAGGTCCAAAAGCTTCTACTGGCGGAGCATGAGTAGTTTAATATACATCATCTTTTTCATGTCTGCTCTTTGGTGCTGATGCACACCTTGCGGTAGAATAAGAACCTATATATATATATATATATATACATATATATATATATATATATATATACATATACATATATACATATACATATATATATATATATATATACATATACATATATACATATACATATATACATATACATATATATATATATATATACATATACATATATACATATACATATACATATATACATATACATATATATATATATATATATACATATACATATATACATATACATATATACATATACATATATATATATATATATACATATACATATATATATATATATATATATATATATATATACACATATATATATATACACACATATATATATATATATATATACACACACACATATATATATATATATATATATATATATATATATATATATATATGTAAGCACGGCACCGAAACAGTTATAGAAGGCCGCTTCCACAATCTTGCCACCTCTGTTATCAGCTCAGCTGCGCTGTTTACATGAAGATAGTCCATTTCCTACTGCATTATCTGATTGTTTCAGCATGATTAAAATCAGTTTATCTTCAGCAAGACATAAGTGTTTATATGCATTTAAAAAAATGACGTCTACTTAGGGCAATAATTTGGTTTCCTGATGTGCAACGCACTGACCAACTCTACCCCCAGTCAATCATAATGAACCACATCAAAGCAAGTACTGAAAAACGGGCAGCAACCACCCGAATGATGGAAGCTGCAGCTTAAGTTACAGTCAGAAACAAACGCACCGATAGGGCAACAAAGGTCACCATCAAGGCTATTGTAATTACTAACGATTCACATGAATCTCTGGCCCTTTAAAAGTCAGGAACCAACAAAGGGAGACAAGAACATGTGAAATGTGCTCAGATGTAAAAGTAACACCTAGACGCAAGCTAACACTAATCTAAAGTTCATTACAATAGTCAATAGGAGTGGTAATAAAAGTATGAATTGTATTTTTCAGGTCATGATGTGACTAAGCAGGCTTTAGTTTCACTAAATCACGTGGCAGAAACCTTTCTGAACAACAGAGCTGATCTGACTGACATTTAAAGTCGCTGTCAGTAACTAATCCAAGTTACATCACACCAGTTTTGATGCAGGTCAACATAATCAAGTTGGTGTGGGCACTTTGAGGTTTTAATGGCTGTAATGCATGATAATACTATTTAGTTTGGTTGTGAAGTATTTTGACTTTGTTGAATATAAATCTGGTAAGATCTCCAAACCAGAAAACAGAACATCAAGGAGCAAGAGCATTTTTACTGTACTTAGGGCTGGGCGATACCAAAAACAATTCCTGATATTCATTTTCAAAACAGTTGATATCAATAAATATCACAATATAAAACAAATTCCTATTTTTGTCAATCTTTAATCTTCTCTGGTACATTTGATTGAGTTTTGAAGATATCAGAAGGTTGTTGAAAGGTTTCTTTTCTAAAGCTGAACATGTCAAACACCATATAACCGTTTTGGATTAATAAAGGGGGTAGGACTGGGCGATATGGGGTCTCAATCAGCAGCTACTGTGAAAAGGCTCACTGAAACCCAAACGCTTCCCTGTCGGGTCAGGCGGAGCACGTGCTTATCCCACAAGGTAGGTCAACGTTGGCCTCCCCACATGTGAACCCACATAAACGTGCTGGAATCGCAGACAGTGTCGAACGTGATCAAACATTTAGGTAAAATAAATGTATTGGCCTAAACCCCTGTTCTCCATTTTTATGAAACAAGGAAAGAGATTTGGAAGTGGAGGGAAGCTCTCACCTGCATGATAAGCGACGGAACCTCGGCTCCACCCTGGGTGTCTGTTTTTGGGGTAGTCCTGAATAGAAACAATTACAGAGGTCATTAGAAACAAAGATCACAATATGACCTAATCAACATCAAACACACTCACTGAACTCATTCACACTTTAGTAATAAACCAAACTGAAAAATAAACAAGTGATACCAGGACTGTTTGTTCAAATCATTCAATCTAAGAATGCAAAAAAAAATATATATATATATATATATATATATATATATATATATATATAAATATATATATATATATATAAATATATATATAAATATATACATATTATATATATTTATAAATTATTTATTATTATTATTATATATATTTATTTTTATGTATATTTATTATATATATATTTATATATATATATTTTAGTTTAAAATAAACCTCATATATATATATATATATATATATATATATATATATATATATATATATATATATATATATATATATATATATGAGGTTTATTTTAAACTAAAATATATATATATAAATATATATATAAATATATACATATTATATATATTTATAAATTATTTATTATTATTATTATATATATTTATTTTTATATATATTTATTATATATATATTTATATATATATATTTTAGTTTAAAATAAACCTCATATATATATATATATATATATATATATATATATATATATATATATATATATATAAATTAAAAATAAAAAACTCAGATGATTGAATCTGCTGAAACAAAACCATTAAAGAATCAAATGTGGAAAAGCACTGAACTGTGTGTGAAGCCTTTGACTTCTACAACAAAAGACAACAAGCAACTTTTAAAAAGAAAGCTTTACATTTTTTCGAGAAAACAGACGTCCTAAAAAAAGAGTGAAGGACAGGATAAATCCACAAATGCTTAATTTCTATTCTGATCCTGTCAAATTTGAGCTAAAGCCCATAATTTACTCCCATAAGCCCCATCCACACTGGCTCCACTAAGCACAGTCAGCCCCAGTCTGGCCTGATTGATTACACACATCATTCAACACATCCTTGGGAATGGGGACATGACTGAGCATATGGGCGGTCTCGTAAATTGGCGCAAAGACATCAGTGCTGTCAAGAGCACATTTCTGAGCATGTGGGCGGGGCAAAAAATGTGTGAAGAAGTCAGCGGTGTCACCCTTAAATTACAAAAAGAGGTGTAGCTTTAGGAGACATCCTGCTATGCTGTGTCTGTCCTGGCACAGCTCAAGCGTGGCAGCACTGTGTGCGTGTGTGTGTGTCTGTGTGTGTGTGTGTACAGGTGCTGGCCAGTAAATTAGAATATCATCAAAAGGTTGAAAATTTTTCAGTAATTCCATTCAAAACGTGAAACTTGTACATTATATTCATGCAATGCACACAGACCAATGTATTTCCAATGTTCATTACATTTAAATTTGATATTCATAAGTGACAACTAATGAAAACTCCAAATTTGGTATCTCAAAAAATTAGAATATTCTGAAAAGGCTGAATATAGAAGACACCTGCTGCCACTCTAATCAGCTGATTTACTCAAAACACCTGCAAAGGCCTTTAAAAGGTCCCTCAGTCTTGTTTTGAAGGCACCACAATCATGGGGAAGACTTCTGACTTAACAGCTGTCCAAAAGACAATCATTGACACCTTGCACAAGGAGGTCAAGACACAAAAGGTGATTGCTAAAGAAGCTGGCTGTTCGCAGAGCTCTGTGTCCAAGCACATTAACAGACAGGCGAAGGGACGGAAAAAATGTGGTAGAAAAAAGTGTACAAGCTCTAGGGATAACCGCACCCTGCAGAGAATTGTGACGACAAACCCATTCAAAAATGTGGGGGAGATCCACAAAGAGTGGACTGCAGCTGGAGTCAGCGCTTCAAGAACCACCACGAGGAGACTCATGAAAGACATGGGATTCAGGTGTCGCATTCCGTGTGTCAAGCCACTCTTGAACAAGAAACAGCGCAAGAAGCGTCTCGCCTGGGCCAAGGACAAAAAGGACTGGACTGATGCTGAGTGGTCCAAAGTTATGTTTTCTGATGAAAGCAAGTTCTGCATTTCCTTTGGAAATCAAGGACCCAGAGTCTGGAGGAAGAGCGGAGAAGCACAGAATCCACGTTGCATGAGGTCCAGTGTAAAGTTTCCACCGTCAGTGATGGTGTGGGGTGCCATGTCATCTGCCGGTGTTGGCCCACTCTGTTTCCTGAGGTCCAGGGTCAATGCAGCCGTCTACCAGGAAGTTTTAGGGCACTTCATGCTTCCTGCTGCTGACCAACTTTATGGGGATGCAGACTTCACCTTTCAACAGGACTTGGCACCTGCACACAGTGCCAAAACCACCAGCACCTGGTTCAAGGACCATGGTATCCCTGTCCTTGATTGGCCAGCAAACTCGCCTGACCTTAACCCCATAGAAAATCTATGGGGTATTGTGAAGCGGAGGATGCAATACGCTAGACCCAACAATGCAGAGGAGCTGAAGACGACTATCAGAGCAACCTGGGCTCTCATAACACCTGAGCAGTGCCACAGACTGATCGAGTCCATGCCACGCCGCATTACTGCAGTTATTGAGGCAAAAGGAGCCCCGACTAAGTATTGAGTGCTATACATGCACATTCTTTTCATGTTCATTCTTTTCAGTTGGCCAACATTAGAGAAACAAACATTTTTTCATTGGCCTTTAGAATATTCTAATTTTCTGAGATACCAGATTTGATGTTTTCATTGGTTGTCACCTATAAATATCAAATTTAAATGTAATGAACATTGGAAATACATTGGTCTGTGTGCATTGCATGAATATAATGTACAAGTTTCACGTTTTGAATGGAATTACTGAAATATTTTCAACCTTTTGATGATATTCTAATTTACTGGCCAGCACCTGTATGTGTGTGCTCCTCAGACACAGAAAAGTTATGGCTTCAGTCAGATGCGTCCTTTACGTCACAGTATCCTGCATGATAATGAATCATGCAAGCGGGAAGCCCCCGCAGGATGATTCTATACGCCAGTCGAAGCTTGCCCCTAGTGGCTGGCGTGAATTTGAGCTGGCCAATCACTTGGCAGTGTGTGTGTTGGACCAGTTCATCCCAAAGTAGACCACCTTGGGAAGAGAGCTGAAAAAACAACCGGTTGAGCGTGAAAAAAAATCTAGGCTATGCAAATGTGAACACTCCCTACTGTAAAGGGTTTAATTTACATCTATTAAATGAGCCATAAGACATGAGATTCCATAGTGAATATGAAATCAATCTTATGGATCTTTGGGTACTTTTAACCAGAAGATTGGAACTTTTTATTGCAGGGATTATGTAACAACTTCGTATTAACAGAGAGACAACAGAAGAGAGGGTCAAGTTTTAAAAGTTTAAAGATTTATTGCTAAACAAATTGAAACTAGACTTACTTTAAACACTTAATGTATGGTGTAACAAGGTGAAGTGAGACGGAGAATGGTGTAGTGTGGAATGTTATTCAGAACCAGCAAATCCGGAGAAAAGATTAGTTCTGATGGGAGTAGTGAATCAGAATCAGAATCAGAAAAGGTTTATTGCCATTGTCAGTGAACAAACAATTCACAAATTAGGAACTTGCTTCGGTACTAACGTGCTACATATAACATGAATAATATAATTAAAAATAGAATAAAGTAGAATAAAATATAATAAACTAGCATAAAACTTTGCTATTAAAAAAAGGCAGGTAATGATGTCTTCGCACTAAGCTTTGATTTGGAGATTCATAACTCACATTGAGACGCCATTCTGCCGGCCTACGTACCCTTTCGGAAGTCCCCGTTAGATCAGGAATGTCGAGGTCCAGCTTGACCCTCTCTGGAACCGAAGCCGGTAGGAAAAGCAGCGGTTGCCGACCAGACCAGTCTTTGAGATACTTCTGGGTCACGACAGTTTATTGGCATCTAGCGAAACCCAAAACGGGGTCGTGATGGTTCAGCTTTTATTCTGAAGGGAACCGTTGCAGCAGTTGGAACAGCAACAGATTTTATCCAGCTTGTCGTTGGTTCTTTCGGCTGAAGAGTAAAGTTACGGATTGGCCACTCCGACAACTTCTCTAGAACGCTTTGAACTGGAGTTGAAGATGACGTGGGCATAGTTTAATAATTCAGATATTTTGATTTACGGTCGAATGAAAAGATGACAGATTTACCAAGCACCACCAAAACCACGCCTCCGTCAGATCTGGCAGATTCTGATTGGATCAGTAAAAGCAATATGTGATGTGGCTTAACCTTACGTGTAATCTGTCTCTAGTGGAAACATTCAAAGTTATATTACTTATTATATTCTGTAGGATTATAATATCAAGTAATTAATATTTTTATTTTACAAATTGGTTCACATTTTATTATTGACCAACACTTTGTTTGATTAGCTTATTAAAAATAGAGTTCTTCGATTTATTAAACAGAAAGAGTCCTTTGTCTTAATTCTTCTCTTGGGCTGGAAAAGAAAAGAGTTTAGAAACAGATGCATGAGACCTTGAACAATATCTCATGCAGATTAGTTCTTGCTGAGGAGAGGTGGGGAAAATGACTTTTAGGTGGAAAAGAGTCATTTCATTCCGTTACACTACCCAGTCTACGCGGATTAGAGCCGGTGTTAATATGCAAGCCCTCCTGAAGCCGCAGTCAGTTGGGGTAATTCTGTTCCATTTAACAGTTTCCTTTGACCACAGAAGGACAGTGTCCTTGTAAGCAAGGCGCCAGGGCCAAGCAAGACATAGCCTTCCTTGGCCGGGTGCCTTGACATTGAGAAACAGCCCAAGACTAAAACTAAACTTCCTTTCTTGTCAAAAATTTAAGGTAAAATATGCAACACGAGCACAAAAGCAACATCCATAGTGTGTGGAGGTTGTAGCTGCAACAATAGAACAAGGTTTTCAGCCGTTTGCATACCAAGTTGACTGCCAGTACGTGAAATTATTTTTTTTAATCTGTTGCAGGCTTCACCTAAACTCACTCTGGTTTTAGATATTTTATGGTCGCTCCACTCCTGAGAA